ACGAAACTTTCAATCTCCAATCTTCCATTGTAGGTAAAGTTTTACTCTTCCAATTTTGAGCTATCAACAAACGGGCAGCAGTTAAGCAGTACAACATCAAGTTCGTTTCTTTTACATCCAGATTTTGTGTAATACCTAGGAGAAACAACTGAGGCAGAAAAGTAATTCTTCTTTTAAAAATTTGCTGTAAGTTCCACCATAGTTTTATCCAAAAGGCCTTGATAACCTTGCAAGTCCACCACATATGAAAAAAGGTTGCATCTTGTTGTCCACACCTCCAACACTTGGATTCATAATTCTCGTAAATGCGAGACATAGTTGCGGGATCCAGGTGCCATCTATAAAACATTTTATAAAAATTCTCACGTAGATTTTGAGCTTGCGTAAACTTCACATGTCTCACCCATATCAACTCCCAAGTATCCATAGATATTGTTTCTCCTATATTTTGAGCCCATTTAATCATGCAATCTTTAACTAACTCAGTTTCTGAATCCAATTCTAATAAAACATTATATATCCTTCTAATGTGTCCTTTAGCACCGTCCCTTACTTGTTTCAAAAAATTCCCATCTTCCATGGAAAAAGTAATCTTTTTATCAATTCGCCATCTCTCTTGAATTTGTCTATATACAAGCCAAGAAAAGTCTGGATTTTTCTGTTTCAAAACTTCTATTGATTTCAGGCACCAGTTACCACTGCCACTCTGATATAACAAATCTTTATAAGATGGCGCCTCCATCACCACATATCTAGGTATTGTCAAGAAAATATGTGATGGTATCACCCAGATTGGAAGTTTAACATCAAACTTAAAAAAATACTTTTGCCAAACTCTTAGTGTGTCCATAGCCTTAATCACCTGAGGCAGGCCCTTCCACCGCTCGACAGTTGTTAACATTCAAAGAAGTTCATGTTGTGCTGAAATTGGTTTTTCAGCAAATTCTGCTCTAGCAAACACCCCAGTTGTGAGCAGAACTTTTAGGGGAATTCCAAGTTTTACAGAAATACAGAAACACTTTGAAATCCATCCCTATTTGATCATCAATTTAAAATACCCTCAAACATGGACTGAAATTGTCATCCAAGATGAAAGTTGGGGAAGGTGGCTGCTAGAGCTTTGAACATGAATAGTTCACACTGTAATCTTGGTTTTCTCTGGGTTCAACTTTAATCATCTACCTGGTTTGTCAACTGTGGATCTCCATGCGTTACACAGCTAGTCCTCAGCTGAGTAACTAGGTGACCCCACTCCCTACTAGCACTGATGATGTTATTTGGTTGGGTAATGAAACGTCTCCATGAACCCATCCCTGAACTCCAACTGGCAGTCAAAAGGCATGACGAAAATTCTTTAATTTCACAGGTTTATAGACAGATTTAACCGCGGTTTCAGTTGGGAAAATGTGACAATCCTAGACCAGGCCAAATCCAAAAATGCCAGGGAATTTCTAGAAACCTGGCACTCTGACAAATCAGCCATCCATAGACACATAGACATTAACAGCATCTATAGACTATGCAAAAGAGAGAATCCACCAGCCCCAAAGAGAAAAAGACCCCAGCACGTCCCCACCAGTAATCAGCACTCAGCGTAGCTTAACTCCAAGGTCAACTTCAGACTAACAATCAAGTAAGCAATACCCCAATTGAGAAACTGCCAAAGAGCCATTAGTAATCAGCCCAACCAAAGAATCCCTAAGACCACCCCCCACCCACCCAGACAGGCAAGACACCAGAATATAAACCTGCAGCAAACCACATTCCTTACTAGCACTGATGTTACCTAGTTAGGGTGA